AGTTCGTCAAAAATACTCCGCTACGCGTCGTATTTTCAACTCTCTTCTCGGTGTTTGGAAATGTGGTCAAACACTGTCTTTCTTGTTTGATATATTACATCAAACACGAAGGACCGTGGCTGACCACATTTCCAAACACCGAGAGGTCGAGAGAGGAGAGTTGAAATATGACGTGTAGCGGAGTATTTTTGACGAACTTCGAGGTGTTTGGAAATGTGGTCAAACACTGTGTGTTTCGTGTTTGATATATTACATGAAACACTTGAAAGCACCTGTAAGATGAAACTTACTGTTTGTACAATTTCTCTGAACTTTGAAATTTAGTTTCTCGAGTTCCTATGGGATATTTTTTTTGGTGTTATTTCAGGCAATTATTTATATCTTTAGCTTTTCGAAAATGCAAAAAGGATTTCAACATACGTAACATACGTAACATGGGAAGACCTTCTCCTAGTTTAAGCATTTTTTTTTTTACGTAAAAAACTCATCTATGAACAACCATTAGTCTTAATGACCATCTTTGCCATGTCATGTTTCATTTAGTTTGCAGAATTTAGTTGTTGTCGTTGCTGAGCTGGTTGAAATTCACTCTATTTTGAAGAGTTCAAAGCCGTCTGAGCTACTCTTTGCAATTCCACAGTTCTTGGGTCATCACTTCTCTGTTTATTTATCGTTTTTTTCCTCCTCAACACTGTCGCTGATGCTGCCATGTTTTTCTTTTTCCTCCGCTTTCTGTTGCTGCAGCCACATGTCGGCATACACGCCGCCTTCAGAGACTAGCTCGTCATGTCTGTCGCGGACAAAAAAACGCCAAGTTTGGCATCATGAAAAGTTCTTCTGGTAGCTTAAATATGACGGCCAGTAATATGGGTAAACTTATTACAGTCAACTCTTACCTTGCGGACACCCCGCCGTTAAGGAGAACCCGCTGTTACGGACACCCACTATTACGGACACAAGCTACATCCCACGGCCGAAACTACAAACTCCCGCTGTTACGGATAATAATAATGACTTAGATAGACTAACACCATGGCGAATTTGCAAACTGACCCTTGGTGGAGGAAATGTAATGTGAATTTATGCGTATCAGGTTACAAATCTGAGCACGCACATTAGTAAAATTACCTTCCTCTTTCAATGATCTCACCCTCCCGGACAACGAGAATCTGATCTGCATTAATAATCGTGGATAACCTGGAGAAATAAGAAATGTTGTGAGAAGACAAACCCGGTCAAAGGTGTAGCCGGCATCTTTTGCGACACTTCCGCTAGCGAGACTTGTTCAATCTTATATAAACACTTATCGAGCCACTGCGCTTTATCACGCGTGTTTGCGCGTGGACATCCGTCCCGGAGCACATTTTAATTGGGTAAGAACTAACACGAACACACGATAATGCACGACACTGCCCGACCGCGTCCGAGTATTCACGGTGATGTACGGCCGTGTATGGTTTATTACCTGTGGGCGACTACAATCGTAGTTCTGTTGATGCACATTCTGTTTAGAGAAGCCTGAATGTTGCGTTCTGTTTGTGTGTCGAGAGCAGAAGTTGCCTGAAACAAATTAAAACTTGCCATAAGAAGAAAACAAGACAGGAACTAAAAATTGCGTAAGTGAGCAGGTTGTAGGTGTTCCCAGTCAAGCAGTACCTCATCTAAAAGAACAAGAGGCGGGTTCTTCAGCAGAGTTCTTGCTATTGCCACACGCTGTTTCTCTCCACCACTTAGCTTGAGCCCGCGTTCCCCGACAATTGTCTCATAACCTGCGGAAATGATGCGTTTGTTAGATCATAAGTGCGCATGGCTGAAATCGCTCCTTCGCTCAGCTTGAGCCCGCGTTCAGCGAGGATTGCATTATAGCCTGAGATATACGCCATTAGTTTACTTGGCTTGAATTCAAGTTCATACATTCAGAACTAATTTATGGCACAATAACAAGAAAATGAGAAAAAAACTATCAGGATGATCCGGAAGACATCACGTCAAGACATACACCTGGATTAGTTAAACTTGTGTCTAACGCCTACCATTTGGGAAAGTCAAAATTCTTGTATGCATGTCTGCTGCTGATGCAGCTTCCTCCACTTCATAACTAGCGGCGCCAATTCTTCCATATTGGATATTATACCTGACACAGCAGACAAGATGACACAGATGATCAGCACAGGCTGGCTAGAAAGGTGTTTTGTCACTATGAAAGTATTCAATCAACAAGTAAACTAACAGCCATTCAGAGTGTAGCTGTGGATTATGTAATTTGTGTTGGTCTGAAAGTCATTTGGGTTAAGGCAATCACCACAATATCAAAACTAAAGCTAACAGGAGGTTGACCTTATTGTTTGCACGACGGATTTACAAGACCACTTGGCGCTTGGAGATGTCTAACTTTGATACGTGCATTGTAAAACTCAGATGCTTTCTAATTTTGTCTGACAATCCCTCATGAAGCAGAGAGAAGAAGCTGAATGACGCATTTTTCAACTTCGCCTTGTTAAAAAAATACACTGACTTCTGTATGCTCTCACTCTTCACATTGTTAACAAAATATACATAAAAAGTTATATTCCTGACCAACAAGTTTTAATCACTATTAGCGCACCGTTTACAGTCTATTTAGATAATTCGGGTACCCAACAACCAGCTTTGCTGTGAATCAGACTGTAGGTTATATCTGAATTACTGCTAATCACTCTTCTTTTCTGGTAAAATAAAATTGTTTACAGTATGCTTTGTTGCTGAAGCAGTGAGAGGACTCTGCCAGAATATGCGGAGACAACGACGCGCAAAGAGGCTGTTTCTCACGACATGTTGCTTTCTGGATTTGATGAATTGATCCATCATCCGTGTTTGGCTGAATGGCTGACAGCTCTAAACGCCCGTCTTATTCCCCGATATAGCAATTGGTCAAAAGACACTGTTTTTATGTCAAGTTATACCTTATGTCATCATTGAACAAAACAGTGTCCTGAGGAACCACTCCTATGACTTTACGGAGAGACTTCTGGGCGACCTGGAAAAAACAGATACCACAAAACAAGGTGAAGATTGTTAATCTATCCTAAATCTCATGTTCAGTACACCAGTTACGACAAAATAAGGTTTGAGAATCGTTTATTTGTCCTGAATCATGTGTTCAATATACCATTATAACCAGTTACCTATAAGTCGATGTAAGAGCCTCTCAATGGGGTTAACCGTTAATCGTAATACGGGCAATGAGTTTTAGCTCATTCCTACTGAATAAAAATTTAACCGTTAGGCGTAAAAATTGGAACATTTTAACCATTAGCCGTGAAAAATGTTAATCGTGAAAAAATTCTCAAGATCTCTCTTGGAAACTTTCTTGTGTCTTGCCTTTTCCATCTAGGAATGGTCCTAAGACCTTAAATATGTTTTACAGTAATCAAAAAAATTTCACTTTTTAAAACAATGGTACTAAGATTCTGAGATTTCTGTTGACCGTAAGGACAAAAAATCGGATAACCGAAAAAAAAAATACTAACCGTTAGCCGTAATGAAGCCACCACCCCATTGAGAGTCTGCAATAAATCTTGATGCCTACCAGGTTGTGAGATTTTACTTGTGATCATGTAAAGCATCTAAGCTATGTACAACTCAGAAACGACTGACTGCTACATACGGAAAAATGCTTACTTTGATAAAGAGTAGGAATTTTCTATCACATGTAACTCCGGGTGGTAAAGTTTGTTCAAACGCCTTTGCGTACTAAAAGGCGCGTACAGCATGCGCCGACAAAACTGAGTGCATGAAAGAAAAACCATCCAGTCTAACAAACTGTTAGTATAAATCTACCAGCCTTCTGTCACGAATACCGCTCCCTGGTTGGCTATGCTACTCACGATCTAATCTGTTGTATATAGTGAGTAGAGTAGAAGTGTGCGCTTGTTATCAAAACGACGGTCGATCTGATTTGTGTTTTCGAAGCATCTGTGAAGAGAATTTACATTACGTTTTGAACGACTAGTAGATTTATACTAAAACAAATTAGATTATTCGCTCTCGATTTCTATGCGTGATAGTTGACTCGCGATAGAAATCTCGAGCTCATAATCTAATTGTTAATAATAATTTTTAATTTGTACAAATGAGTAACCTTTGCAATGTTCTGTCCATCAATAGAGATGACTCCAGAGTCCAGATCATAGAAACGATAAAGCAGTCGAATGATGGTGCTTTTACCGCTGCCTGACGGACCAACAAGCGCTACAGTCTGGCCAGGGTACACGGTAAAGGTCACATCTTTCAGAATCTGCTTTCTGTGAGAACAAAGTGAAACACATTTTAATAACACTCCTGTAGGTTCGTTAAGTCTATTGTTTAAAAATAGAGAGGAGAGCTCACCAGAAACAAGACCAAGAAAACAAACGATTAACAGTTATATTTGGTTGGCAAATGACAGGAACCGAATTATAGGAAGTGAGCATAACTAGCGATGATGAGGCTAGAAATAGAATGGACCGAGTTCAAAACGTTCCTTATAAAACTGGGCTCTAAATCCTTTAATCCTTGCAAATGCTTTTTACACCATGAAAGTGAAATTCATTATATGGCAGACTTACTCTGGAAGGTATGAAAAATTGACATGTTGAAACTCTACCAGACCACTGGCGACTCGGATGTCTGGAGCGTGTGGTTCATCTAGTACCTACAGGCATAATGACCAATGAAACTGTTTAAGGCAATACGGCAAGAACAACTGTTCCACACACAGTATAGTCTAACCTTATTAATGAACCAGTTTGCTCAACTTGCTAACATCAAACTTAGAAGAAAGTCTAATTACTGCTTATCAACTATAATGCTTTCAATTCTGGGAGAGTAGAAACTAGGCTGTAGGGGTAGGCAACAACACTGTAACTAGCATTGAAGTCTCCATGTCTTAACGAACGTTCCCCCGAGAATAGCATGTCAATCAAACCAGAAATAAACTCTGATGTGCGTAATTAAACTCGAACAAAGAATCCATTATTCTTATCAACATCATTTGAAAATTGATCAATATACCTGTCTTTTCTGTTGAAACAGGTCAAACATGTTTTCCATGTCAATAAATGACTGCTGAATCATTCTGAAACAAAATACCTTTATTTATAACTTGTAACAAAAAAAAAAAAGGAAAATTTGCTCCAGAGAAAAAACATGGGAATTTTGTTGGGACCAAGAGAACTGTCCTTAAGGAGCATTGTAGAGATTTCCTCAAGGAGAGGAGGGACTGGAGTTAGCTACTATTACTATTGAGGTTGTTTCAACATTTAAAAAATATTTTAAGTAGGATAGATCAATTTTCATTCGTTTGTCTCGCGATGGAGACACTTTAAGATGTCGATCGCTTTGATGTAGATCACTTTAAGATGTGATCTACATTTTGAAGTGACTTCATCGTGAGACAAGCGAGTGAAAAATTCATCTATCCTATCTTACACCACGGTGAATAATGTACACATCTTTAATGACAATGTTTTAAGTGCTCACAAACATTTTTTATTTTTTTTGTCTAAATCTACACATCAGTCAAAGAAAGTGATCTGAACTAAACTCCTTTTAATTAGAGTTTTTGTCCTATATCCATGCTGCTGATTGAGATGGCTAACAGGCTCTTGTGACAAACATTTCGGATTTTTTTTTCTCAAATTCAAATTGTTCACTTGCAGTCTGTTGACAAATGGTCCTTACATCAAAGCTCCTTTGTTATGGAGAACTGAGCAGAGACTCAGGCATATGGGGAACTAAAATCGTGGAAAAATTGAACGTTTAAAAAAATGGAATTTTTTGGCAGGTGTCCTTGGGGTGATGTGTAGCTTCAAGTGAAAAAGAAACAAAGAATAAAAGGCTCTGGCACTTTTAAATAACTTTCTTACCTGTAGTAGGTTCCAAAGTAGTTCAGGGGTATGTAAAGCTGAAGGGTGTAAGTGACAAACAAGACAAAATCTCCAACCTAAAGTAAAACAAACAGAGATTAGAAACCATTAATAAAGGGCCTCCCTAAAGAACACACTTGTTCTTGGTAATGCTTGAGCCCTTTAAGTGAACACAGTACATACCGGTACACACCTAACTTTAAGATCTGCTTAATGTGGCAATTCCAATAAAAATATACCACGAAACTGCACAATTCAGCAATGAAAATTATTATGATCAAACCAATCCAGGATTAGGGTGAATTTCGATCCGAGTTTTACCACTGAGGTTTTCTGTTTATTTCTCAGTTGTTCGGTTTTGATGTCAACTTATCACAAATCTATATCAAAAACAGAAGACAGATTGAAAATCAAGGGTTATCAGTTTTTTTAATGACTGGGTCTTGAATGTTTAGTAAGTGGTAAGCAGAGTTACCTTCAGGCGAGTAGTGTTAAACTTTTGAGACAGAACTATAGTTATTCAAGCTAATAATCACCTATAACCTAATAATCACTTTTAATTAATCACTAAGGATGGCTGCCCAGTCTTATTAGCCCATAAAGGTTATTTCAGGCAGCCATGTACTCTTTTTATTCTAACTTGTTTTTGGTCATCTGACTCTAATTTCTATGTTAAGTACAAATAAAGTTGTTGCTGTTGTTGTTGTTCATTCCACATAACATAACTTGCAGTCTACTTACTAACAGAACACAATGAGACATAGTCCTGAGAGAAATGACCGTCACTTATGGTACTTTAAAGTACGACAAACCACAAGACCAGGTTTAAAAAGGAGGCATTTGAGAGTAGTACTCACCTCTAGTTGTCCGTCCCCTACTAACTTGCCACAATACAGTGTACCAGCCAAGAGTCCAACAGTGATTACTGAGTTCTGCGCTGTATTCAACAGAGCAAGGGATGCAATTGTATCCCATTCACATTTCTGAAAAAAAGAATTCACTTCTTGATAAGGAATGCTGATGAGGTACAACAAATTGATTGCAAAGATGAGGGAAAACACAAAGCTGTTGAGCTGTTATACCTGATAGTCCTGGATAGCAAGATCCAGTCTTTCCACTTCAAAGTCTTCTCCACTGTAGTACTTCACCTAGAGCAAGTGTGATCAAAATTCATTTTTCAACACTCATTACAATGTCAATAAAGTGCCAAGCAGACAGGTGCAAATAATAAAGAAAACCACATTAACCTATTAGTATAGAGAATATTATTTTGTGTAAAAAAATCCCCACAAAATCTTTGTTGGTGTAAAATTAATGTATTTATGTTAAAAACAAATTAAAAATACATTTTCAACTTACAGTTTCAAAGTTTAACAGTGAGTCAACAGCTTTTGCTTTGGCTGCATTGTCCTTATCATTCATCTCACGACGATATTTAGTTCTCCACTCAGTGATAAGAACAGTAAATGCTGAAATACATGTGGCATGTTCAACATGGTTAATGCACCAAATCACGATATAAATTTAATATTTTAAAAGAACTGATTGATGCATTACATAAGATTCATGTTACCATAGAGTGAAATAATTATTAAAATACATTATACTCTATTAAAGTTGACTATTATAATCATTTTTTTAAAATTATTATACTAAAGAAAGACCATGAAAGGTTTCTTGCAGTTCATCTGATTTTATTACATGTGAAATGTTGAAAGATTAATACTTTCTGGTTCTAATCATGAGTAAAAATAACATGAAATCACTTTCAAACTTTTTAGTTGGGCTGTATTTTAACACAGTAAAAACACAATAAACATTACTGTTACTGTCATTAAAGATGTGTATATTATTCATCGTGGTGTAAGATAGGATAGATCAATTTTTTTTTCAGTTTGCGCTGCGTCAAAATTGACCTTTGAAGGATTTGCTCCAATAGATGCCGCTTGCAAAACTGAGTTTTTTTGTATATGTTATTTCTTGAAAATGAAGCGCAAATCAACAGAAACGATTATGCAACAATGCTTTTCATGTCAAAACAAGTCAGTCTGCCAAAAATTAGCTTGATCCTGCAAAAAATAAAAATTGGCTCAAAATGCTATATACACCCTTTTTGCACAAAAGCCTTCAATTTTTTTAAAGTTGAATCAAGAGCCAGTCTTACCAACATATAGAGCCATAGTTATAAAGACTATCAATCCAAACCAGCCATTGAAAGCAACGATGAAGTACACAATTGCCACACCAATGTCAACAAATGTAGGTGCAATGTTGAACAAAAGATAGCTAAGGGCACAGAAAAATACCACATATTACTTACAAGTCACAAAATAGTCATATCTTAAAAGCAACTGTTATAGTTACGTCACATAACAGTTGGGAATTATATGATTTTATAACAAGTCAAACAACACTGCTTCTCGAGCTTTGGTTCACTTTTTTTGTATTGAAACCATAGTCATGTAAATTGGTTGTATTGAAATAGACCACTGAAATCCACTACTGACACCATGTTTAAAGTGCACCTAACCCCCAAATTTTTTTTTCGCTAAAACAAATCTAGACTTTATTTGAAGCATTTGGGCGAAGAAATTTTTGAATTTGGTTG